AAAAATTACCAAATTATTTTTAAAATTTATTTAAAACTATATTTTAACATTAAAATAAATTTAAGAGGGGGAACACGAAAGGTAAGTAAGCAAAAAAGGAACCGAAGAAAAAATAAAGGGAAAAGGGTAAGGAAAAAAAAATAAAATGGAATCTGGTAAAAGCGACGCGGCCAATTTCTTTCTAAAAATATAAAGGGGAGTCTGGTAAAAGCGACTGCAAGGTTTCGGCGATGTGGTTGGGGTTAGTGGCGGTTGTGGTGTTGGTGGTGTTGGTGGTGCTAGTAGTATTAGTGTTGTTGGTGTTATTGGTATTGGTATTGGTATTGTTTGTGTTCGTGTTGTTGTTGTTGCTGTTGTTGTTGCTGCTGATGGTATTGTTGTTGTTGTTGTTCTTGCTGCTGCTGTTGCTGATGGTGTTGTTGTTGTTGTTGTTGTTGATGTTATTGTTATTGTTGTTATTGTTGTTGTTGTTATGTGTTGTTGTGTGTTGTGTTGTGTTGTTGTTGTTGTTGTTGTTGTTGTGTGTTGCGTGTGTTGTTGTGTGTTGTTGTGTGTTGTTGTGTGTTGTGGTGTGTTGTTGTGTGTTATTGTGTGTGTGTGTGTTGTTGTGTGTTGTTGTGTGTGTTGTTGTGTGTGTTGTTGTGTGTTGTTGTGTGTTGTGTGTTGTTGTGTGTTGTGTGTTATTGTGTGTTGTTGCGTGTTGTTGTGTGTTGTTGTTTGTTGTTGTGTGTTGTTGTGTTTTGTTGTGTGTTGTTATGTATTGTTGTGTGTTGTTGTTGTTATTGTTGTCATTCGTTGTTGTTGTAGTTGTTGTGGTTGTTGTGGTTGTTGTGGTTGTTGTGGTTGTTGTGGTTGTTGTGGTTGTTGTGGTTGTTGTGGTTGTTGTGTGTTGTTGTGTGTTTTGGTGTGTTGTTGTGCGTTGTGGTGTGTTGTTATGTGTTGTTGTGTGTTGTGTGTGTTGTGTGTGTTGTGTGTGTTGTGTGTGTTGTGTGTGTGTGTATTGTGTGTGTTGTGTGTTGTGTGTTGTGTGTTGTGTGTGTGTTGTGTGTGTTGTATGTGTGTTGTGTGTGTTGTGTGTTGTGTGTTGTGTGTTGTGTGTGTGTTGTGTGTGTTGTGTGTGTTGTGTGTGTTTTGTGTGTTTTGTGTGTTGTGCGTTGTGCGTTGTGCGTTGTGCGTTGTGCTTTGTGCGTTGTGCGTTGTGCGTTGTGCGTTGTTGTTGTTGTTGTTGTTGTTGTTGCTGTTGCTGTTGGTGTTGTTCTTGTTGGTGTTGGTGTTACCCCTGCAGCGTTTTTGCTCGGTTCCGTAGTGGCCGAAAATCGTCAAATCGGTGGTGTTTTCGCGTGTTTTTGCATCGCTCGGAGCAAAAAACACCGTAAATACCAATGTTTTTGGCGGGTCGGAAGCCCAAAACCACGGTATTTACGATGTTTTTTGCCTCTGGTAGTAAAAAGCACGGTATTTACAGTGTTTTTTGGCCAGCACCTAGCAAAAACACTGGTATTTACGGAGGTTTCACCATGTAACAAAATGTGGTTTCTTGATCCGAAAAGAACAAAAATACTGTAAATTACAGTATTTTGAGTCTGCTCTTAGGGTGCGTGGGAGGTGTGGAGGGGGGGGGAGGGGGGGGGGGGGGGGGGGTACTAAAATGACTAGCAATCTCCTGAAGAATCAGGTAACGGGGCTAGCCGCCCTCCCCTTTACTTCGTAAAGTAAAACTCAAGGTAGCCCCTCTGGAGCTACCTTTCGTAATAAATTCCATAACAACATATTTTAAAATAAAATTAAAATAATCAATTTTATTTTTTTTTCATATATTATATCAATATTTTGTTATTTTTTTTATATTTATTATAAACAATATATATATATATATAAATATTATATATCAAAACAATAATATTAATTTTTAATTTATTTATATTAAATTACAAATAATTATATTAACAAGTTAATATTTCTATAAAATTATTTTCTAAATATTGTTAAATAATATAAATTAATTTAATATGGGAATATATATAATATATATTTTTTTCGGTGCGTATTGATGTGCGGCAGCGCGTTGCTTCCCCCTTCGCGAGAAAGAATATGAATATAATTTGTTTGTCTATTTCTCCCAATTTATCAATAGATTACGAAGATATTTATTCAACATTATATAAAATTATATACTAGATGGTCTCAATTTTTCAGTAACCCTCAAGCCCTTTGAATTCGAACAGGTGGTGAGGCGCTCTCTTGGTATTCATTTGCTCATAAGAATATTCATCCATTTAACAACATTCAATATCCATGGCATGCTAATGATCCTGATGGATCTGATGACAGGACCGTGATGTTTAATGAGTTTAATGGCCCCATCACACCCTGCCTCAGATGCGAAACCCAGGGCCTGACAAGGAAGGCTGTGAACCAATAACGACCAGAGGGCGGATAGGCACAACTGGCCAACCACATGGAATAGTAGTAGAAAAAATGTGGCAGTTGTCATTTCTATGATTCCTACATGTCTTTCCGTATCCCTAAGAAGTCTGAACTGATTATCAGTAACTGGTTCATTCATATATTCATCCAACTTCAGTATCTTGGGCCTCCCCAGGAAAGCGGGCTGTTTCGACCTCAAGTGCACCCAGGCATCACTTGATCTGCGGGTGCGAATGGCAAATCCGTAGCTTCAGCATGCATATTGATGTGGTAGTATTTTCAACATCATACGCCGAAAAAAGGCAAGGCAGGCCTATCAATCTAGATAACCTAGATAACCATAGATAACATCATAGAACATCATGATGTCATGAAATCCATCGTTAAATTCCTATTGACAGTCTATACCCTCTGGTAAACGTTTACATAACTATGGAAAATCACCATGCTATTAATGGGAAAATCCACTATTTCTATGGGTCATTTTCAATAGCAAACTGTTGACATAACCAGAGGGTACAATCCCAATAAATCCCATTAAACCACCATAAAATCCACTATAAATCACCATTTTCCTATGGTTTTCCTATGGTTTTCCTATGGTACACCCAATGCACCAGAGGCTACACCCAATTGGTGTCCCATGGCACCAAGGCTCCCAGCGTTGAACAGGGTAAGGTAGAGCACGCCGCTCGGATGGACCTCCGCTGCCGCCGCTCCAGAATCCTCCAGCCAAACCTGAACCCGGAAAGCGTTTAACAATGGGAGCACTCCCAGGCAAATCATCATGATCACTATAATAGTCTATCATATTGTGTATATATATTATAATATAATATAATACAATATAATAATATAATATAATATAATATAATATATATATAATATAATATATATATATGATATCATATAATCATTGAAACATACATACACAACACCTAAGCTCCGTCGTTATCAATCTCCCTCTCTCTCTCTCTCGCTGTCTTTACTGTGCACATGGATGCCATCAGTGGGAGACCATTGTGGTTACCAGGATCAACATGCTTCAAACTTCCAACGACCTCTGTGGCAAGATGTGTAAAATACAAACTGACATAAAATGTCAAAGTATATGTCAGATTGTATTTTACACATAAAATGTCAAACTATAAGTCTGTATTAATTAGATATGTCAACCAAAAAATCTAAGATATTTTATCTTTTTAAGTCGATGGAACCAAGTCATCCAAGTCATCCAAGTCCTGGCTGATTTCATGACGCTCCAACCTCGCACCGGTGTGGGTTGAGGCTCTCTAGATGCGGAGGCCGGGCTGGAACCTCGGTTTTTCACATCAAGCCGGATATGAGTTGGATGGATCAGAGCATTTTGCCGCTGTGGAAAACATGGGAAAACACACCAAAAGTGGGATACTCTCGGGTTATGTCAACAGTTTGCTATTGAAAATGACCCATAGAAATAGTGGATTTACCCATTAAAAATGGTGATTTCCCATAGTTATGTTAGTTTACCAGGGGGTAATTATGAACGAAACAAAAGACAGTTCAAACATCTTCGAACAATCGATTCACTAGATTGCAGACTGGAATGCAACATGAAGTGGCCTTGAAGCTTCAGAACGGGCCTTTGATTGTTCGGCCTATTGTTCAACCGTGAATCTTTTTCGTATCATGGAGGACTCGAGGACGTCTCAGTCCCCGAGCTTTGTCCATAGAGCGTGGGCGAAGAGATTGCAGAGCTCACCACAACTGACATGCCGATCAGGGAAGGAGAGAGTCTTGGGAATCGGCAACGCTTTCTGGCTTACAAGATGAACCATTTTGCTCCACGTTGGGATGTGCAGAGTCCATTACGTAGCCGTTTGAAACGGGCATGACTGAACAAGACCAGCCGCCATTTGCAGACATGTCAAGTATGACGAGCGGGAGGCACAGCTTTTGACCAACTCCACCAGACATGTGTCTGGTAGACTCAAACAGTTTACAACTATACCTTAAAAAACAATCACCAGACATTCTGTGTCACTTGCCTTGCCAACAAACCATCTTATCAGAATCAATTTGGTAAGCCATCAAGCAAATTAAATCTGGTTGGTGGTTTCAACCCCTCTGAAAAATATGAAAGTCAGTTGGGACGATTCTTCCAAATTTGTGGAAAATAAAAAATGTTCCAAACCACCTGCCACCAACCAGATTATAATCCCCATTAACATCTAAAAACCATGGCAAATTAAATCATCAACAACTAGGGTCACCATCAAATGCTCACAGCATGCTGCGCGCCGTGCCTGCACCTGGGCCTGCACTCAGCATCCTGCAGACTGAATTCAATGTGGTCTGAGAGGCACATCGAATCTACTGATCATCTACCGTAGTAAAAGATATTATAACATAACATTACAACATAATACAGTATACAATATAATATAACATAACATAATATAATATAACATAATATAATATAATATAACATGATAACATAATGTAACATCATGTAACATAATCAGAGATTCTCTTGGAACAAGATTTGCAGCCATGACTACTTTTCTGTTGGCTGGATTTCGCTGGTACCTAGTCTTGGCAGAGTTTTGTACAAGCGGACTAAACTCATTGACCACCGTCTGAACCACAGTCACAAGGCTTTCCGCACAGTCCGTGTTCAGTGGTGAAGCCAGCTTACCCAAATGCGAACCATGGTGCTGGTATATTTACCAACATTCATTTTTTACCCGAAGAATTCATCACCCAGTTTTGTAGGTTTTCATCTACCAGCACCATGGTTCGCATATGGCTTGGGGAAGGATGGCTGATGGCTTATGGCTGGCACCTCGATCCAGTCGATCCAGTCACCTCACCTCGGAACAAGGCGACGCCAGGAGCCGACTTCTAGACATTTCTAGACCATTTCTAGACCAGTCAGAAGATATGTGTATCAATTCATTTTATAATTTTCATACATGAGATCTATTTATAAACCATGGAACATCATTCAAAAGTTAGCAGTGAACAGTGAATATGTCCCCAACTCTGTGCCCTGAGCCATGAAGTCTTTCAAGGGCGAAGTCTTCGAGGCTTCTCCCGCCATTTGGCATATATTTTTTCATAACTGAATGTATTGTGATATTATATGATATGATAGGTATCTAGATTCATCATATTAAATATGATATCATTTGGATATTATAGTTATTAATTATAGGATATTTGGCAGATATTATAGGTATATTATAGGTATATTATAGGTATATGATTATTACTTGGAGATTCCGCAGATACGCCCAAAAAAATGGAGGTGCAGCCCCTTCATGGCAGCCCAGCCTGTGGATCCTGTGGATCCTGTGGGCTCTTCGCTGATGCCCCGGATGTGCTGAGCGGCGACAGGGCCAACAAAAAACAACGAGATGAAGATTCAGATGATATTTTTCCACCATGGATCACAGGAAATATTTATTTATATTATATATTTATTATTTATCCTGTTTTACAACTTGGTCAATGTCATTCTGTCTGTCAGTGACTCAATGCCTGGCATTTGTCAGAAAGCGTTCATCTCACATCTAGCGGCTAGACCATCTGTTTGACTTTGATCTGAAACAAAGGCACCAATTGCACAGGCATCGATCCCTGTTGGTCATGGTGAGCTTGGGTCATGACCAGCTTCTCGATGTGCATCTTGATGGTGTGGTAGTCCTGGAGCGATCCCATGCGATCCCTCCACCCAGCCTTCACCACCAGTCACTCCAATATTGAAATGGCACCTTGATGGTCGAAATTGCTGAATTACATCCCTTTTTCCCTACTCACCCAAGCAAAGGTTATGAGATACAGTAGTCTCCACCCTGGTGAGGAAGTTTGAATCAGAAAGTGGCAGAAACCAGATTGATGAATGATAGACGGATCTTGGTGGATACTTCATTATTCAGTATCTACAACACACATCATATCACATCAAAAAAAATACGAAATCTTTGAAGATGGAAATCTTTGAAGATGGATCAGTATCCAAATCTAAAAAACACACATTTTCTATACGAAATCTGGTGAAACGTCCCTGACTCCAGCAGGCTCCTTGGAGTCGCGGTTCAGATCCATGGCCTCGGTCCGTCATGAAAATCGTCATTCAGATCCATGTCTTTTTTTTGGGATGTTTAAGGATGTTTTAAGGCGTATACGGTATATATATATTATATTATATTATATTATATTATATAAAGTGTATATATATATATGGTAGGAATATGGTAGGACTATGGTATAATCTCCAACAATATCTCCAACAAAATGTCCAACAAAACTATGAAACACGCACAGCAAGCATAGGATACTATTACTATAGGCATCCATCCGTCATGAGGGTGGACCCATGGAGATTGGCGCTGAGCTCACAACGATGTTGAAGTGGAAGAGCGCCTTCCGATCCTTCTGCAACTTCATGTAGACCTGGTATGCATAAACAAAAGGAGCTCAAAAGCCAATTTAACAAATACAAGGTAGGACACGTATCTGAAAAAACCCATCACATGAGCTTTTAGGAACTTTATGTGAGAAATTCATCAACTACATATATCATCATATATATATATATAAATACACTCATTAAATTTACGCAATTATACAATATCATGCACACGTTTTGTTTATTCATCTCCTTATTAGGAGAAACATACACAAACGGTGTTGATCCAGGAAGGTTTTTGTAGTCTTTGAGCCAAACACCTCGTGTAAGCAAAGGACATCAAAAGCTATGAGATTCTCCATCTCATAATCTTTCTTAGGCAATCTTCCTGTGCCGGAAGAAAATATTGATGCATGTGTTAGTGTAATAAAACTGCTAATGCTTAGTTGGCTTACTTGTTTCAAAATTGAACAACTACGGTATCATACGGTATCCATTGAGAAAAGCTCTCTGCCGAAAAAAAAACAACGGTTGTTCAATTACAGCCCGTACCTTGCCCAACTGGAAATGCACACAGGCTTCCTTTGGGGCCAAACATCTCACCTGCGGAGGCTGCAAAGATCCAGCAGCTGAAGCAAAACCGCCGTGAAGTTTTTACGTTTTTTGAAATGGGGATAGGTCAAAACCTTGTACCCCTGTAGTTCACATCAAAATAGCTGGTAAATGGAAATTCATCTTTCTAAAAATGGTATTTATAATTATTTCTAGGTATTGATCCATAGCCAAATCAATGACGTGTCAAGCCTTCTTCAGGTCAGAGAGGGCTTCGTCAAATCTGTCCAAACTCATGAGGACGCAAGCTTTCTGGAAGTACCTATGACTGGCACCTTGCAGGGCACCTTGCAGTAACCTCTTCGGGCATGCCACAAGTAATTCTTGGCGATTTAAATGGCCAGAAGGGTGAGCTTTAAATGTATGCGGATGAGAGTTGCACAGTGAGGCAAAGTGAAAGTTTTCAATCTGGTTATATCTGGCTTGTATATTGCTGATTGCTACACATGCCCCAGCCTATGTGCAAAAGACACTCCGCCCATCTCCCATCTGTTTCACAAAGAAATCCAACGAAACTTGAACGTCTTGAACCATCAGAACCTCACAGGCCTTTTCTACATTTAACACACACACACACATGCATCATGCCCACACACACACACAAATTGAGAGCTGTTTGGGGGCCCTGTAGGTTAGATATCACATGATATCACACGTTATTATCAAATACAAACCTCACCACCAAGGGAGTTTGAAGCGTCAGCGCACGCCATGCCGTTTTGTGGCTCTGCTTGTGCTGCCTGAAGCCGATGGAGAAACTTGAAACAATGTTCAACAAATCTTTGCGTTGTGTCTTACAACTTACTGTAAATCAATTTTGTCCCTTTTCTGGACCGCCAGGATATAATATAAAAAATACTTAATTATAGTACGTGTATATATATATATATAATATAATAATACATAGTATATCATATATACACATATTTTATGTATGATGATATTGTTTACAAACATCAATGTCGTAGTGCAAACGCATGGGCCACTAAGCCAGCTCGGCTCCTGGTCAAAGCTCTCAAGCGCCAGCAGGGGCTGCTTCAACGAGCTCAGAACCTAAATGATGCAATGGAAACCAATGGTAAATCCCAATGGTAAATCCCAATGGTAAATCCCAATGGTAAATCCCAATGGAAATCACCTTGAAATGACTGGAATGCTCTTGCTTTACCATGGACCAAGGTACTCCATATCTGTAAAAAAAACACTCAACGACCTGGTGACGCAGACTTGGGGCAGGGAACTTGTAGAGTTTCAAGCTTCGGAACTGTGTCGCCTGTGTCGCTATCATGCCACATTTTGGTTCTTTTCTCACCGACCAACCACAGAACTGTTGGGTTCGAAATATGAAAAAACCTGGTTCGGAAAAACAAAACCCTATAATGAATCCCAAACTACCAAGAGCTCTTGTAACAGGTCCCAGTAACATCAGTAACCTCCTCTTTCTATCCATCCGTCAACGCAGGGCTCCCCAGCCATACCCAAATAGCACCGCAACACGGAGTTGCTGGCATTAACCTGCAAGGCCTGGCACCAGAGCGGCTCTGAAAATGGGCTACATGGTATATCTTCAATTTGCCATTTGATATATCAAACATATATCAATAAATATACGTATATTATATACATGCATATATATACATATTAACTATTATATATACATTGAAACATATTGATATGGAACATGATGATAAAGCATGAAATTTTGGGGTATCCCAATTTTAGCCAAACCCATGTGTTGTCACGCAAAGAGCAACTCGCAGTTCCGAGACCGCCCTTTTCCATGATCTATCACCAGGAGGTCTTTGTACAACCTTCAACTGCCTTTGCAGCTGTATATGTTGGTCCGAAAAAAAACACCCTGCCCTACGGGCCACAACAGGGTACAAACAACTGAGGCTTGCCGTGCTGGGGAAGCAATCACTGTTTGAATCCAAAGTTAAGAGCCTGACATGTTGGTCAACCAGCTGACTTCCGAAGATTCTCACTGTACTGTCTGCAATTGGAATAATTAATACCATATTAATACCATACAATCCCATATTCTGAGTTGCAGACCAAAAGTGACTGATCACCAATGGTTCAAAGCAGGTTGTTTGGATGAAACAAAACCCTTCCGAGAATGGACACGAAACACACATCCCTCTGACTCGGCTGCTTCGTGGGTGACCGAGACCGCTGAAGGTGCCATGGCGTCCCAGCGGAACACCTGGTATTTTTATATCTTTGCTCCTGGTGTTTGGGATGATAGATCTGATAGATCTGCAAGTGGTGAATGATGAATGATCATCACACTTTTTTTTTGGAGTATTTCAATATTTTTCCTCGGCAAGGGCTGCGCATTTAATCTTGAGAGGAATAGGACAACTGGTGAAATGCATAAAACATTCGTATTAGAATACTGGTGACTGGGAGAGGTGTATAAACAGCTCGAAACTAATTTCTATGGCATGGTTTAGCACAATCAGGCGCCTTCAAAAACATATCTTGCACATCTAAGAAAAGAGCGGGTTATTCAGGGTCCTAAAAAACTGCCTCAACTAAGGCGCCTCTAAACCCGGCCAAAACAGCAAAGCCTGCCTCCAAAAAAGTCCGAAATTCCTTTCGATTTTTGGAAAACCCGTGGATTTGGCGATCCTTCTGGACAATAACAGCTTGAACCTGTGTATACATACCGTATACCCGTGTGTACCTGTGTTCAGCTCGAGTAGGCCCTTCATTGAACTTCAAGTGTGTCACATTCCCCACCACATAATTATCTCCCGACAACATCCTGGGATTCTTGACCCATGGTGAGCAAATCCTCAACACCTTGGGGTACTTCATAGTGACCATCATGATCAACACTGACAAAGTTCTCGCCTATCAGCAATCCCTGCAGTCCCTTCAGTGCCCCAGCTGGCCTTGTAAAAGTGATACTTCGCATTCCTCAGCTGCTGCAATCAAATGGGATGCTCTTCTTGAAATCGTGACGCTTTTTTGGAACGTCCAAACAGGCTATACCAAAATGCTGTTCAACCCAAAGCAATGAAAGCTGGAAATCCAGTTGCTGCATTGTAACTGGCAGCACTGGTGCACTGGTCCCTCAAAACTATAGCCTGACTTTAAATCATCTAAAATCAAATCTCTTCATGCCTCAACCTCGACCGCCAGTAGAAGAAAATACATAGAAGTATCACAGAAGTGTCTTTCTGACTACTCTGTGTCATTTTGCTCATTAATCTAATATGTTCTTGCCTAGGTGTCTGGCCGCACATCTATGTCAGCTCCAGATTCTCTAGTTTCAACTGAGCTAGAAGTCTAGAAGTCCTGGAGTTGCCACTACGTAACAGCGTAAAAGAACCATTTATTTGATGTAGTTCTTAACATGGATCTTCACTGCTGCGAAAGACAATGTCCACCAAGTGGCTCATGCTCTTCTTGTCGAAGGTAAATGTTACCAAGGCCCCACCTGTGAGATCGACTTTTTGCACAAACGTCAAACATCATGCGCAATGCCCATGCCTGCCAGCTGGAATCACTCCACAGGGCAGAGGTCATGGGGGCCCGGACCAAGCATTGTAGTGGCGAGGGTCCAAGTTCAAAGCGTTTTCGTACATTGCCACCGCCTGTCGAGAGATTGCAGCTGCGCTACGGCTTCATTGATGATAGCTCAGGAAAACCTCTAGTGACAAGACATCGGCATTGTGGAATTTTGGAATACTGATAGGGGCGATCTCTGGAAAGGATTTATTCTCACGAATGAGTACATTTAAATGACTTCGCCAACAGGATAGACAACTTATCAGAAAGAAACATCTTGTAGCTTCCAAGATCGTACTACTGCAAGCAATACTGCTGGCAATACTGCTGGCTTTCTATCATCGTCCTGCGAGACTATCATAAATCATCCATGTGACGAGTCTTCATGTTGATCCGGTATCCGTATCGATTCAACGGCAGGTTGGGATCGAACGAGCTTGCGCTGTTTTCTTCAGGGCCCTTTTGTTTTGATGCACCTTATCAATCTTCTCGCAGGCCACAAATTCATGGCCGCAAAGAGTATAGGCGTAGGTGAAAGTTGAGTCGACCTCGGTCCCGTGCCGGGATGCATCAGGGTCAAGCCTCTGTATCTGGTTGGTGGTGCAATTTCACCATCTTGAAAAATGATGGAGTTCGTCAATGGGAAGGATGACATCCCATATATTGTGGAAAAAAAAAATGTTCCAAACCACCAACCAGGTATCATGACGAATGACAGAATTGACAGAATCAAGGTTGGAGATTTAAAACCACGGGTCACATTGCGTCCAAACATTCTTTGCCCATCTTTGCTTGATTTGATTGCATATGTCTGTTCATAAAACATGTATCCTCCTATCTTCAAACCGGGCTGCTACATATGGGCTGCTCCCTAGGTCTGCGATTGTCGATACCTTTGCACACATGCTATATCATTCTTTTGTCTTTTGACACACTGGTGGCCAGCCCAAATCAATCACAACACAAGACGCAAAGCTTTCCTGACGGTCTACATGGAAAGCACCATGTCTCTCGATCTGAGTTCCCAAAATGGTGGGACAAGTTTAGGCTTGTTGACGCCTTTCCGCACTCAGTCGGTGCCAAAAGGGTGCCCCTGTTCCATGATGCCACGGAAATCAACCCCTTGGATTTCCTCAGGACATATCCAATCCAGGTTGCCCCGGCCTGTATCGCCCGCTTGAAAAGTTTGATGGCTGCGTCGTGCTCTTTCTGCAAACTGCGGCACAGGGAGTTGGCACAGGCAGTACATGGCAGGAGCATCAGGTATAGCACCTGTGGGAATGATATGGAATGATGTCTTCTTACAGACTTAGCATCCTTCCTGAGGAAAAAACATATCTTCTGAGAAAAGATTGGGAGGACAGACTGGACACTCGGGAAGTCCAACACATCTTTTCAAATCACAGACCCTACCCAACCAACCTACTCATATGTTAGAATAAGAATGATGATTGGGCGCTGTGTCAAAGGAATCAAACAAACATGGATACAAACGCGGCAAGATTTTTCAGTGCAAGCTTCTACGAGTACTAGAACATGTCAAGTGGGCTAGAGCAACAAACACAGCAATGAAACGGGAAGCGTTGCTAGATGTTTGTATCTCAAAGGAAACTGCATGCTTCCACATCGGCAACCACCAAAGAGCCACATGCTGTCAACCACACCTAAAGCAGTTGCCAACGACACACCAAACTTGCGGTTTCAGTCGATCCTGCCCAAGCAACATCTGAGATCAAGTTCTACTGAATCATCTGGTGCTTCTCGGTAAAACTTTGTACTCCAGTACATCTGGCAACGGTTCTTGGGAGTGGGAGGAGCATGTATAGACGAAAATGTGTCTTGCTCCAAGCCATCAGGAAGAAATGCTGCGTTCAAGTCCATCCGTGCGAACACCGTTGCTGTGGCTGGGGGCTGGACCCATTGCAAACATTGCTGGGCCAATCTACCTGGGTGCAGTGGGGAAATGCTCGGTGCTGTATCAGCTGCCAGCTGTGATTGGATCTGTGATTGGATCCCAGGCATAGCTCCACATCTCGACGTAGGTGCCAGAGTGCCGAAGAATAGTATTCCAATCCTGGCACTCAGATGGAGCATATCCCGCCCTAGGGATCCCTAGGGCCCATAGAGATCACTGAAGCGGCTGGCGCAAAGTGATGGCTTGCCATGAGGTCGTTTGCAATCGAAGAGCTATGCTGTTGATGCCATGATCGTAAAGATCGAGTGGAACCAAGTGGCAATACACATTCTGAAATGCCAATTACCTCTTAGTATGAATCACCCATTCTCATCTTTACATAGATGCATCAACCTCACATTTAGGGACAATAACCTAAGCCATAACTTCGCAGCTTCTGGGCCTTCCACACGGTAGGGTTCTATTCTCCATGCCTAAGTGGCAAGGTGCATCGCGCAGAAATAGTGTTCAATTTCACGTGTCAGGATACAGTATCATGTTATTTTCGCTGTGGCCACCTGAAAAAGTTGCTTCTTAGAAGTGTGAACTGCGGTCCGCTAATCCTGATTGTTTTTTTTTTTTTTTAATGAATCACGTTCACAATTTTATACCGTGGTGGTCCATGTGGTCCAGGACAAGTTGTGTATCCAATCCAGTCATGTTCAGAACATTGTTCAGCTGATCTTGGCCGATCATCTGGCCTGGTTGTAAGCCGTCTCTGACTTCTTGTAATCAGCAGATTCAAAGTAACTTAACCTTGGCAGATTCAGCGACCGTCTTCCCTAAATCCTTTCCAGCTGAGGACCTCTGGTCGCTGGCACATCGATGCAACATGGCGCAACGCACATGACTGAGATGGACTGAGACTCAAACCCCACGAGATCCAACACATAGCTAGTCTCATAGTGCCTGACACACGACCACCGCATTGACCAGGATCAAGTCAATGGCCATGTTGGCCATGGTTTGTACAATCCTATGGAAAAAAGTAAGGGGAAACTCCGGGGAAACATTGATGCCTCATGATGGCAACTTGGGGTTGAGTGATCACTGAACAGCAGATGAGAGATTTGTGGCCAGACCTCTTGGGGATTCCCATATGATATAGCATGACATAGCAACCCAGCTGGATCAGCAAGCTATCGCTTAAATGGTTCCCAAAAAAGACGTGGAAACCTTGCGACAACTGCCCCTTGGGCTGCCCGAAATCCAGTCAACGGTAGCCTCTTGGGTAAGGAAGCGAGTTCTTGAACTGCTTGTTGACAGTTGAAGCTATGCCTCGAGCCACGCGAAAACACGACGCACGGACGTGCTCGCCTCGCTCTGTCCGCTGAGGTGCCGGCAGGGCGTGAAGTGCGATGCCCAGCTTGCAAAGCAACGATGCCAGAGACAGCGACTGGGCGCGATTTCATCGCGGCGTGGCTTGGCTTTGAAAAAAGGCTGTTTTAAGGGTTTACAAAATGAAATCATAAAGATACAATACACGCTTAAAAATACTCCCTACTTGGGAGAAAACATGTTTTTCACCGCATGTTTCTCAGGTCATTGTTCACATGACAGGAATCATCCGTCCCAACTTGCTGACCTTTGTTGAACACTTGCGGCTAGCCAACTTTGGACTTACCGAGCGACCAACACCGAGAAATGTCATGGTGAAATGGTCATCATTTGAGTTGCGCGCCTCATTTGAGTTGCTGACACCATCCTGCCAAGCTGGGTACTATTGGAAACCTTCTGCCTCCATTGGTTCATATTGTACTGCTTCAGAAAGCTCATTGTGTCAAACAAAAAATTAAGAATGAACTGAACTGTGTTGAACAGAAACAACAAGCTGATTTGGCAGTTCCATCTTTCTTGCCAAACTGACCATTGCATGAAACTTGTCAATATCCCTCCCAGATCACAGGGGATTACGATCACGGTTTGTCATGTTTTCTGGGGGGAATCGTTCAATTGTTATCATCGTCGTTTAAATGACTTTTATGTAATAATTTAATACAATTTATATAATCAATGATAATTTACAATATTATCCTCACATTGTCATCATTGTACCAGTAGTCATTTTTGTTGTTCAAAATCTTCCTACATCTTCCAAAGCTGTGTAGCACCTGTGTGCTCGGCCGCCGCGGTGCTTCCTGCGCAGCATGGACAAATCGGATTTTAATAATTCATCGTCCACATGTATCTGCATAAATTCATTAATTACATATTTTCCTAGATGTACCATTTGGTTTGTTCAACATAGCCATGGAAAATCACCATTGTTAATAGGTAAACCATCTATAAATGGGTCATTTCCCATGGCTATGTTAAATAACCAGAGGGTAATAGCATATACTAACTCGCATATATCATACATCTATGTACCTGCAAACATATTCATTTTTAACTTATACTAATTATAATATAATATAATCATTTGGCACCCAAATCTCGTTGGCTTCACGATATCTGCACAGCTCCGTGAAATACTGACACTGCCTGTGCTGGTACTTCTTTTGGGATGCTTTGCGGCTTTACATTGTAGAGTACCAACAAGATTCTTTTATCAAAAATGCACTCAAGGAATCTCAAGGACACATGCAACGCCCAGTTTACAGTACTTGATGGTCTTCTACCTGGGGCCAGGAAGGTTTCGCTGATGTTTCCGTGAGCCCTTTAAAGATCCCAAAGAGCCACCGGGAGGGGACGGATCGGGCCATCAGTGGTGATCTTTGGCAACCGAATCTACTGGAGAATGATCATATTTTATTCATATTTTCATATTTTTTCGCACATGTGCTATGGCTGCTATGTAAAGTTTCCCTTCGGATACACATGGATACACCAAACCAATCATATTCCCCGCCTTTTGAAGTTGGCCCTCGACCATGGAGTTTCTGCTGTGCCAACTTTCTCGCCGGTCCTCAGCAATGACCACTGAGGCATCCATGTCATTGCAATCCAATTCTGTCGGTAGCCCTGTATCAGATCAAAATGATCAAAGTAACAGCATTTCAATTGCACCAAGTGCATCATGTGCATCCAATTGTAGGAAAAAAAATGGTGGAGACACATGGAGTGAAGACGAAATACAAGATTGCAACAAGATCCATGATTCATATTGACCCATGGAAGCTGGGATGTTCGTATTTCAAATCGTCCCCTATCCCCATCCACACCTGCAGCCTGAGGCCCCGAACCCGACGGTTGAGTCCCACCTTGATGTCGTTCCTTGCCTCAGAGCTGATGGATTCCCGTTCTGTCCTCAATGTGGTAGCTGGATGTAGCTGGGCTCGCCATACAAGTGACGAGTTTCCTTGCTCTAGAGAATCATTTGTGCACCACGAAGTTTCTTGAAGATTTCAGGGGGTCAAATCGCAGCAGTTCATTACAATCTGTTTTAACATACCAGTTCCTCTCTTTCCCAGTCAAACTTTCCACAGACGCTATATTTCGGGCAATGAAGAACACCCAGAAAAGAATAAAAACAAAAACACACATCTGATGAAGAGATATAAAGAAAACATAAGAAAACCCAGAAAAGCCAGTGGATGACATGTAGATAACTTTCCCCCGAAAAAACCACGCGACACTTTCCATTCAGATCGCGACGGCCGCGGGGTTCGGCGCTATACCCCGCGAGGGCGAGGTCCGACTCCTCGGCCCAAAAAAGCGCAGCCAGCGCAGCTTGGAGATTTACTGGCCACGCGCAAGGGATTTCATGTGATTTCATGTGATTTTACCTATTAAAAATGGTGATTTTCCATGGCTATGTTAAATAACCAGATGGTAATGTGATTTAATGTGATTTAGTATGATTGAACCACAGAAATAGATAGATTCGACATTTTACAACATATCGAATTGGATTCAAGCAGCAACCATCACGGGATATATGATGTAACCAGCCAGAATCTGGAAAACCCACACAACCATCAGACCATATCAGACCATCAACACTGACTTGTCAGAATGGGGGACAACCTCGCCCCTGCTGTGGAGATGGACATCAAGAAGCATCACATCGTCTCTTGGAAAGACAGCGCGCCACCACAGGTGCGGACAAATTCCATTTCTGTCGCGACGAGCATTGACGCACTTTCACAATCTTTCACATGTATATCGGTATATGTACAGAATCAATTCCTCCGGGCAACGTGCATATTGCATAATATTGGTCTGTCTTGCCGCCGAAGTGGTCGAGAAATTCCAGCGGGCAGTTCATGGCAGTTCCACTTCTCCACTGGTTTCGATCCCTGTCGACCCAGAAAGTTGTGGCTCTCGGGAGCTCTAAACATTTCTACCCGGGACGGTGCTACAGCTTGCTGCACCGATCACTGACCTTTGCTTCAACTCCAGAGCCTCAAACGTGTTGAAACGGTCCATGTTCGTCCAGGTCTAGCCAAGTCCCGTCACCATCGCATCAAGATTTCTGGCGCTTCCCCTTCCGAACCAGGGCGACCCGGCGAGTGGAGGACACCTGGCAGCCTCTTTGCCATCAATGGCAATAGCAATTCAGTCACAAACGCACTGGGAGTAGGCGAACAGAACCATCCGCAAAGCAACCTCAGCCCGGGTCAAACTGATCAACCCGAAGTTCATGAATTGACCAAAATTCCTTGCAGATTTTGATGATGTTCAATGATCAAGCCCCGGTATCCCCACAGAATCTATGATGCATTGCATCCATGCCATCCTGATTTGGGTTGTGCCATGTTGTGGTCGGATCCTACATGGCGCATCTCCCATGGCGCCATAGCGCACTGATCAGTGAACAACAGAGTGAAATGTGACATTTTGAACGTCGATATCTTCAATATTCTTGAACATCTTGCAAGGATTTGGAAACAAAACAAGACACAATAATTAGTAGACTTTGAATGCCACGCCCATCAATGCATGCACATTTCACAACAATTGCCATGCCCAAGTGGCCAAGAATGCTGTGCTCCCAACTAGCAAGCAGCCCTGTAGCAGCGGAAGCAAGGTGAAGGTCATATCGTCACTGCGAAGCATCACCTTGGTGATCCCAAATCTGAGAAAAAGGAACACAAAACTCGTCCGATCTTGGTATGGTTGGCACAGACGAGGAAGAATGTGCCTATGTCCAAGCCCTCGTAGAGTATCTGCTACTCACTGAAGTTCAGAATTTCCATGATAGAAATAATAATAGCCTAATAATATCTAATAATAGTCTATTCATGCCCATTCTATCCTATTATTATAATATACATATATAGCATTCATACATTTCAAGTGTTTTTCCTAAATCTTGGACACTGGTGCCGAGTCACAGGAGCAAGGTAGCAGAGGGCACCAGCAGTGGCAAGAGTGAAAGATGACCAGTACCAACGGTGGTTCTCCTGGTTCTCCAGGGTTGAGCGAACCAGATTTCGGTTGCATCTTGAAGTTGCATGATTTGGATTGATTTGGCAGTTGGCTTATCACAAGCATCATGCCTTGTTATGGGAGAAAATGATTATCCAACACGTATTGATTGTCAGCTCAACATGTCCGGGAGTTCTCCTGCTGCAGCCTTCTGTAGGTGTGCAACAACGAGATCTCTGTACACAAGCAGCAGCAGGGAAGCAATGTCCTTGGCCAAATAATCACCCTTTATCCCCAGGGTTTGGCAGCTACATTCACAGTGCGTTTCACGGCATTTTAATCTTATCTTATCTAACCCCTTTCACTTTGCCTGAGTTATTGGATCTGAGTTACAATGTATCAAAATGTCACATACCACACCCAAAAAACACAGATCTACACAGGACGGGATGCATGCTTAGCTTGAAAGTTGTTTTACATAACTTTCTCACTTCACCAGAACATAGACCTCAGCCAAATATAGCCAATTTATATGAGTTCAAATGTTGCTATAGTCGGCCATGGCACTGTAGTTTGAAATTGTCCTGCAAACGCCCGAGGAAAGCTAGAAGTGACACTGCAAGCAACATTTGCATCCAGGACCTCGCTACGAGGCTAGAGTTCGGAAAGTTAGTTACAATACACTATCCTTGCAGGAACAGCGAGTGTGTTGGGACCAACAATATTGACATGTTGAAACCGCAAATGCACTGCAGCACGATGCAAATACCTTTAAACATCCAAAAACACAATGCAAGGCAACACAAAAATAGTCAAAATATGTCAAGATTAGCAAGCTTGCTTTCCGACTAATTTCCTCTCTCTCTCTCTATTCGGTGTTGAATTATGAACCAGCAAATACAGCCAGAACATGCCAGAACTAGATAGTTATTAGAAAAATGGAAGATAGGATGCTTTGACAAGGATCGATGGGATTCGATAGGGGTCAAAGGATTTTTCTAAGCAAAACTAGGCCTAAAACTACCCAGGAGTTTGAGTCCGAAGATGTCCGAAGTGAGGGCTCGTCAACTCTACATCATCCCGAGTTTCCAGGAGTCTCATATTGCTTCCATTCCTAGACCTAGTTCTCCAACCGCACCCCAGACCCCAGCTATGTTCAACTGATCCCAGCGACGCCGAAGTGCTGCTGGGTGTCCAACTTGCATCGACTGGGATCTCCCGGGGAATCTGATGAAATCCTTGAAAGAAGCCTCTGGACCTGGGGAGCTGGTCCTGTGACGACCATCTCTTGAAAGCCTGAATTCTTATCATCCCTGATTGGTGACTTAACATAACTGGTTGGTGGTTGAGCCCCACCCCTCTGGAAAATGATGGAGTGAAAGTCAGTTGGGATTATTATTCCCAATATATGGAAAAATGAAAAATGTTCCGAACCACCAACGAGATAAGTTAACTATCAAAACATATCAACACTCCAAATCAACTGACATTGGTGAAGGAAAACTCGAAATTATTGAAAGCAACAAAATGCTGAGTGCTGAAACCAATCAGCCAGCCCCCTGTGAAAGCAGTTTTTCAATGTTTTTCACATCTTTTGAACATCTACTCAACATGCATGGCTTACCCCCTAGTATAGTGTGTTCTTCTATTTACATGATAGGCCACACATGGCCACCGGCTACGCAGCCAGCTGAGCTGAGCGTCTGCAGCTTGGGTCGCGATGCTCCCAGCAGCAGGCCGCAGCAGCTACCCAGGATCTGCCAGGGTCCAAGCCTTGAGTTCAACTCTGAAGTCATGGCTAAAAGCACTGAACTACCCTCTGGTAAACTAACATAGCTATGGAAAATCACCATTTTTAATGGGAAACCTCACTATAAATGGTCATTTTCAATAGCTATTTTGACATAACCAGAGGGTAACTGAACTATTGGAAAGACTTCCTTTCCACCATGTAAAGGAGACACCCTTTACGTCTGCAGACACGAACGATTTATGGTGGCATCATGTGGCCCTCCTGTTTTTCATCTGTTTTCCTGACTTTTTCCTGTCCATCGATAAAACAAGCTCTGGAACTTGGAAAAATCAAAGTGGCAGATCTGGCAGCTGCAGCAGGGGCAGTCCCAAGATCAAGCTCCAGCGTGGCAGCTCAAAGAAACCGTGCAACCTCGGCTCAGCAGCTACGGGCTAGGAAAGGATTGCATCGGGTGTCATTAAAGATGTGAGCCCAAACTTCATTGAATTTATGTAAATCTGGATGTAAATGACAAGCCTTCCAAGTTCCTTGGTTGCTACTGGATGCTAGCAGGCCTTCCAGGATCAACCATTTTGTTTCGGCAGCCAGGCACTTTCAAACATGAACACTATGAACACTCCTACTGTGGGTGGAAGAAATCCTGCACCAGTTGATAGATGGTTTATCCCATTATTTGAAGGGTTTCAACCATCTAAGGTGGTGCAGGATTTCTTCCATCCACAGTATCATCTCCTATTTAAGCAGTCTGTGTAATTGTGAAATTAAAATCTTGGACTCCACGACACCATTTAGCCAAGGCTCCTTCCCAAACAAAACGCTCCCATTGTGCTGGACAGCTCTGGGAATCCTCGATGACTGCCGCTTGATAATCTATATATGTATATATATATGTAAACTATTATATATAATATTATATATATATAACTATAACATATTATATATAATATATGGTATATTATTTCATTATATTATATGGTTCGATCGGTTTTGGATCAGTGCACAAACTCACGGAAGGTCTAAATTCAGTGACAAACTGAGGACTGGCCATGGTTTTAATGGATCCAGCTGCATTGGAAGGGCGTCTTGATCAACTTCATTGGATGATTTTCAGCATAGCTTGGCTGTTTTGCTGAGCCTGCAATGTCAAGAACCATTCGAACACAGAAAAAAAAATCCATGCGAATCACGATGATCAAGCAAACACGTTGAAACCTTTGGAGTGGGTCTCCTCATTTCCCCGTGCCCCATTTCCTCATTGCCCTGCGGCCATGGCACCCAGCGTGGATGCCCATTGCCCTGCACCAATGGCTACGCAGATGGCCAGCAGCAAGGCGCCTCTAGGAGGCCTCATGACATCACCTTCGGGACGGGTGCGACAGTCCGACGGGTGTCTGTGCAAATCTGGCTGCTTAAATGGTGATGTCCTTGTGATGGGTATCCATGATGGTATTGATGGTATGATGCTCCATATTGATGTTCCCATAGGATCCATGTATGCTATATATGGTAACATTTACCATCAATATACCCCATTCATGTTAGCATATATACCAGCACCATGGATCCTATGGGTATTGTTCCATATTGTTCCTATTCTTCCACAAGTAACTCTTAAGTAGTTCTTTTCTAGGACGCCAGGGCTCTGTCTCAAAATTTACAGTTTCACGGACATCATTCGCCTTGAACACATGTTCACGCTGCAACTGAAACTCAGGGTGGAATACAGCTTGTTTCAAGGCACCATACAAAAGCTTCCATCCAGATTCATCATCTTCCTCTCCTGCCGCGCAGAGTGCAGTGCATCTTGGTAGGTTGAACACTAAAATGAGGCTGGAAAACTGTGCAAGCTTTTCCAAACGCATTATCTCCCATTAAAAAAATGGGCACTGTGATGCAAAGCAGAGTTGCCATTCAGTCCCATCATGTTTTTGAAGTTTATTCACACAAGACCCTGGCGATGGATCCGCAACTGGAACTCAAACTCCACAACTCGAATTCAAACTCCAAAACCTTGAAATTATTTGTGCATATCTCAAATCATATCTGTGCAATTGGTCACACCATCAGCTGGCGTCCATCTGCTTCCATGGGCAGCAGGCAAAGCAGAAAGGCGCCTCCGCCCGATGGCTGTGCGACGAAAGCTGCACTGGTACTGTTTTTCCCCACCTGGCAGAAGAGGCAGCGCCAGCGGAAAACGACGCCTCATATGGTGGACTCGATCGACACCTGCGCCGGATCCGGAGCACACAATGGTAGCCAAATATAGACCTAAGATGACCTAACCTTAGATGACCTAATACATTTACCCTCTAGTTATGACTAACATCGCCATGGTATAGATGGCCCATTTATAGATGGTTTACCTGGATTTACCTATTAAAAATGGTGATTTTCCATGGCTATGTTAAATGACCAGAGGGTAAGACATTTAGATAGTCAAATATAGTCAAACTGTGCCAACAAAATAATCATGATGAATCACGGACGAACTGTTGATGCTCATGGAAGCTCCTGACAACCTGAGTCTTGTGGTGGTCCAAAACCAACCTTTACGCGCACCTCTTGGCAAAGGGCAACATGATCGCACTTCCAGCAGGGCCACCTGCAGCTTGAAGGTTTCGATATGTTTCCATGTAAATTGGAATCCATGCAGGGAAACTTGCTGACTTTGGCCTTTGCCAGTGGCAACGTCAAGGCAGCAGCTGCAAGCCAGGACGCCATGGTATCGCACAGGAGAAACCGAGTCCCTGTTGAGAATGGCATATGGCATGAGCTACACCTCAACACACAATGGCGGTGCTATGCGGTGCTACTCGCAAACAAAGTTTGCTCGAGTTTCAACATATAGGGCAAGAATGGATAAGAATGGTATTGGATAGCTGGATGGCATTTAAGGCCTTAAGGGAAGGAGATGAAAAGCACCATGGGAGACCAATATTTTTCAGGCGATCCATTTTTCATCCAAAAATCAAACCCAGAGGTGTCGCTGTGTTTCGTGTGCGGGTGCTGTTGTCAAAAATCCATCCCTGACACAACGGTAGCACCGCAGCTGCACGACTTTTTCCGACTGTAACTCTCGCTCGGTAACTCTTTCAACATTTGCACCTGGTCATGGGCAAACTTATGGGAAGGACACCTGTCAAAGGGAAAACAACGTGAGTGAGTACGATTCTTCCACCATCTGCTCTCGATTCACCGTACGTTACCATGGGTACAACATGCTCTCTTTTGAAACATGATCTGAAAATACATTGAAATATTCTGAACATACATTGAAATATTCTGAACATACATTGAAATGATTTGAAAATACATTGAACATACATTGAAGTATTCTGAAATGATCAAGATTTGAACCAAAGCAGCCACCTTCTCCTGCATGTCTTTCACCACCTTCGCGGTGTGCAGAAATTCCTTGCGCTCCGCAGCCGTTGAGCCATCGGTGGGGCCCAACAAAGAGCCACTTCAGACATTTTCAGAATTTGGGAAACATCCTGGATGTTTTTTCGATTCATCTTACCCTCTGGTAATTTAACATAGCTATGGAAAATCACCATTTTTAATGGGAAAATCCACTATTTCTATGGCCATTTTCAATAGCTATGTTAGTTTACCAGAGGGTAGATCTCATGCATGATCTTGATCTTCAATGTCAACAGCCACCTGTACCATCAGACCATCAGACCATCACATACTCACCATGCAACCACACTACCAACATCTACCAACCCACCATCCCAGCGGCCTTGCGAAAGAGGGCCATGTCGATGTTCCGTGCCGCACCCTTTAGGCGAGCAATGCCCGAAACCAAGTCCTTGGCATTCAGGTCCTGCAACGGCGGACATGGTATCCACGGAGGAAATGGATGGGATTGGCTGTTCGAAATCTTGTCAAAGACATCAAATACCAATGTATTTTGATCAAAATTCAATGATCTAAAATGATCTTAAATGATCTTAAATCGACGATGCTACATCTTGCGATGCAGTCAACAGTGAGGCATATCATGGAATATCAACTGGGCAGGGATGATGGCTGCACCCTGCAGTCTTCTGGTCCTCCTTGTTGCTTTTGGCACAAATCAGCTCATGAACCAAAGCCTCAGAAGGCAACTTGGCTGGAACGGAGACGCCTCGTCGATCCATGCTCCCACCACACATCTGTTGAATCGAACAAGCGTAAAGTATACTTTCCAACACATGCCTTTAAATGTTTATCCGTGCAGGCTTATGGCACAGTTTTTTTTTAATGGTATCAGTCAGTTGGTTTCCTTTGCAGGCCACAGTAGTCACAGTTTCCTCATCACAGGGACCTCACTCCTCCCGTGCAGCTGAGGAACTGCATTGCTGACGTCCAAACCCATGGCAGCAAGCCACAATTGCACCGAATAATCATCACAGACCTAGGGAACCCTTTTGCACCACATCCTACCACCTTTTTATGTGGCACATGTTGGCATGTGTGGCACATGTTGGACCGTGACTATCATGATGGCCCAGAGATATCTGAATCTGAATTTCATTCATCATTTAACTATATTTAACTTATTAAAGTTCACCCGTCCACTCGCGTGGACGGGCATTTCCAGCTTAATTTCTTGTGGTATAAAAAACCAAGACCACTGATCAACAGTCTGACTTCCAATCTGAAGGCTAGCTGAAGATCGGATCAAGCACATTGCCAGAAAGATGTCACGTGCGCTCTTAGAAAACATGAATATGACCATCATGCCTGCATAGTGTATCAACATATATTCAAATTCCATTCAAAACAACTACATTCAGGTATTTGTGATTTGCAACACGCAGGCAGCAGAGGCACTTGCAACCACTCTCCCTTGTCCAATCTGCCACTGCCATCAAAATCTGCAGCTTTGAATAAAGCAGTCCTTGGTGCTACACTCTCCGGCCACCCCGTGATCTGAAAAATTGCCCTTAAATTGTCAACACAATGACACAATTAACCTACAATAACCATAGATTTCTCTGCACAACTTGAACAAACCTGTGGAAATTAACCATTTCCAATCCTGCAAAGAATCCTGATGCCTTGTTACAAGGATTCCAGGGGTCCATGATGCTGCATTGAACCACCGTGCATGTTCCTATGTTCCTGGCTACACATTCAGTCAATAGAAAGCTAATGAACGTTGTCTATATAAGATAGATTCTACAACGCACCACCTGCAAACTCGTGGTGAAATTCGACCGATTCGACCGTCCAACCTTTATACAGTCACTTTAGTCCGGCCCATCAGCGAAGCGGCATTTTGGCCACGTGAAGGCTCAATGCGCGCTCCTTCCTGGCAAAAGGATTTCATCTGATTCCATCTGGGTGACATGGATGGCCTACTAAACCAATCCCAGAGCTTTTGCTTTATGTCAAAGCTCAAACCTTCGATTCAAACCAACCTGGCATTTTTCTTCTATAAATCGGTATATCTTGCTTAATAATGCTTAATATACATCAATATTAATTAATACATGTCGACATACCTGGTTGAATCATGTGAAATCACCATCTCAAATGTGATCAGCTACAAACACGCACTTCGTCGACATGTCGTGCCCTGGGGAGACATCGTTTCATGTGTTTCATGTGGCCAGGCCATTCAGCATATCCTCTATGGTTAATATACTGTTAATAATGGTTAATATATGGTTATTATATGGTTAATGATGGTTAACAAATGTTAATAATAACCTGGTTGATGGTGCAATTTCACCATCTTGAAAAATGATGGAGTGAAAGTCAATGGGTTCTGGATGACATCCCATATATGAAATGGAAAATAAAATTCATGTGTGAAACCACCAACCAGATAGGCATAGTACTGATTCACTACATTTGAGTGCAGAGAGAACTCACTCGATGCAAAATGAAGACAGGTGTCTGATTGATCATGATGGTGTTGTCTGTCTGCGCCACGGTCATAGTCTCTTGAACAAAGACTCCCGTTATGACCTTCGCTCGAAGCATGTCGGGGAAAAATCCGAACGTACTGGAGATGAGGCTGTGTAGCGATTTGGAGGTTTCCTAAAATGGGGATATTTCCCAAATCATCCGTCTTGATAGGATTGTCCATTATACACCATCCATTTTGATCCATTTTGGGGATTCCCCATTTATGGAAACCTCCATTTTGTTGGGCCATCAAGCTGAAAAACAACGATTCTTCCCACGGTTAAAAACGGTTCATACATGACTTGACCTCGATGGACTTGTTGAACAACGACTGATCTTCATCCTGAAGTGACGAAAAATATGTCCAGACAGAATCAAAAGGAGTTGTCTTTGTCCATGGAACCGTCAGCTTCAACTATCTTCAAATAATATACTGTAACAACCATCAACATGTTTGCTGCATTTGCTGGCACTGTGTGGTACCTTTCCAGACTATTGTGTTCTAAACAGCACACCAGATTCTTCTAGGTCTGATGTTTCAGCTCACTTGGATTGCTGCTGAACATTGTGACAATACATGATCATATGATATCATAGTTTTCCCGTCACAGTTCATCCATAGACTCTTGTGATCTCTTGTGGCAGTGGTAACAATAATTAATCGGCACATAGAGACACTTCTCAGAGATGACGTCATGATCGGTCTCTCTGATATATGACCAAATTTTCCTCTCCATTATACACCCAATTGCATCTGACTCCATTATACACCCAATTGCATCTGACTCCATTATACACCCAATTGCATCTGACTCCATTATACACCCAATTCACCCAAGATATCGTGGGGTTACAAGCATTGACTATTATTCCAGCTGGATTTTTTCTTGCCTTTTTCGCCCATCCATTTGTTTGCTCCGTGGCCAAGTGGCCATGACGACAGCGAATCCAATGACCAACTTGTGTATCAAGGCAAATATCACCTGGGATCACCACGTGAATCCTCTGCTGATTGGAGCAACCATCTGCTGATTGGATCACCCAATTCCTTGCATGATCTGCTGAGTTTTTTGACTCAATAACCAATGAATACAACACAAAGGTTCCATCCATGGATATCCGGGATCCCCCAAAATCGCATATATTTTCCATGGGGATAAAGGATGATCAGCTATGAGATGGGCTATCTTTTAAAAGAGATGTTTCGTGTTGCTCCAAGCGACATAGACTTCCGAGACGTCCTGCATCATCAGCCGCGTCACCGGCACAAAATTCCCTAAGGTGATCTCCTGGGGAGCTAGGGGCTATGGGGAAGATCCCAGCCCCAGCATCTTGTAGGACATCAAGTAGAATTGTGTCGAAGTCAAGTTTCATAGTGGAAAGATATGGAAAGATCTCATGATCATGGTACTTCATTGATCCATGATCGTCCATGATTGTCCATGATCCATCCAATCTTGACACTCTCCATGCGATTGGCACTTTGGAATGCTGGATCCCATGAGAGTCCAAGCATCAAACAAGGTGAGCATAGCACGGGTGAAAGTACCGTAGTAGGAGTACACCGCATATTTGTCACCTGGATGGGCGGTCACATGACAAACATGAGCATGTGCCATGATCAGTGAATATATTGTAGGTGCTTATCTGGATCTGTACCTCTAGAGAAAACTTGACCTAACAATGATGGTAAAAGTGCTAAGAGTTGGGAACAGTGCACGAACAACCCACAAGCAGCACGTGAACCACGAATCGACATGAAGTCTGTCAACAAAGCTGTGACAAACTTCGTTTGTCAAGCATCTTGAGATGCTCATTGGATTGGTTCAAGGGAAAATCTACAGGAAACCATGGTTTTTACCATCAAATATAGGGCTTTCCGGCTAAAAATTGCCCATCATCCAATTCTATGAGATGCAGGATTGCAGCCATACCCAGATGCAGAAAGCCATAGAAACCCATCACGGCCTGTGGAGTTTGCACCGGATAAATACGGCTCCACCAATGTCACCATTGCCAGTGCCAACATCATCTGAATCCTTGGCATCGGGGGCTACATGGCTTTGAATTTACATAGCGTGTATATAATAGTTACCGGTTTACTATGTATCCACCATGCATAGCCTTTTCATAGCATATATACACAGTATATATATAATATATATATATATAATATAGATATAATATATATATATAATATAATATCAAACTACATGAGATCAAAGGTAAATGTCGTAGCATCCCAGCCCAAAAAATCTTCTGGCGCTGGGATCTCCGTTCCGAATTCCTAATTCTCCGAGAGTCAGCAGCAACAGGGCACTGGACCATGCCAAGGCAGCAAAGGACGCTCGGATCGATGTCAACATGAGATACAGCGCCTAAGTGCTCTGCAGCTTGGTTCATCTTACCCTTCACATTGATAGCCGAGACTGTTCAGGCTCCAGCAAAATACAGCAAATGCACATTCCAAGTCAGTGGAAGTATCCTAAAGATTCCTAACACTCAATAACATGTAAAGATGCTAGAGACTTGGGCGACAGTAGAATTGAAGCATGACGATCATCTGATGATCATGATTCATGATGATCTTCCAATTGTTTCAAGGCAAACTGCATGAAATGATCAGCTATGACGTAAATTCCAAACAATACAAACCGGGCTCCAAAAAATCACCCCTCAGCAAGAGTCGCTGCTATACTGACATTTCATGGCTGACCAGTTTGGACCAGTTTGGAGCCATCAGATCATCCAAGTGTTCAGCCGGGGAAGCTATGGACGTTTAACTGTTGCCAACTGCTTCCATTCTTGCTCATGGCAATCAGGACACTAGTTGCAAAACCCTGGGGCTGCGTGGTGCTCGAACACCAAAAGTGGGCCAATCAGTCATCATTCATTTTCCGTCACCCTTAGAGAGCCAAGAGACGTCGCACTGCTCAAAAATCTTCACTAGCCTGGTAAAAAAATGGCCAAAGGCATCAGAAGAACTGTTCTGAGATTCGCTCTCAAAGATTTGGTCAAATGTTGTCCCACCATGCCATTGGGTGTGGATCCAACGTGCATTGTCTCTCCCAGCCCTGATAATACCACTTGACCTGACTCTTGGGTAGACGCGCAAATTGTGTTTTATACTCGACGTCGACTGTCAACTGCGTACAAAGATGTGTTCCCAGGTCTTTATCCCTGGCAACAACATGTCCCGACCCTTGAAAATGAAAGCCTTTTCCAGAATCTTCCAGATATTGTTACATGATATGGCATGATATGGCAGGATATGGCACGGTACTTTGTCCCATGCTCTCCCCGCCTGACCATTCTCATGAGGCGACTCAAACGAAACAACCGGAGCATCATTGGTTCCAGTGGGAAGGCCGCTGCGGTCATCCTCGTCCAGGGAGTCTTCCAGCTGTGACGGCTGTTTCAATGCCACAAAGATTCAACATAAAAATCAATGACAAGTGTATGTGTTCAGAGTTTGGAATTGATTGCGCTGGTCATAGCATGTCATAGCCTCACGGCTTCCATTGGAAAAGCATCGGTCCCATAACAAGTCGCCTGTCAAAGGGCAAATCCCTTGCCAATGTTCAAGCCTACTTACTCAGTACCTAGTTTCAAACCGAACTAGCACATCTAGCACTATGAGATCGAGTCCCAAACATTTCACAACTTTGTTTCCAGCTCAATTGTTATCTGTGGCATCTGTTGCCAGTTGCCCCGAAAACATTGGAGACCAAGCGGCCGCTCCAGGTACCAAACGATTAAGACCAAGGCATCCAACCAGTTCCACACATCCTGTGGGGGAAAAACTGTGGGGTCGCCACCTCTTGTGAGATGACATGAGATGATACTGGATACATATGTTATCATATATATTATCATATTATATGTGTATATATATATATATATATTATACATATATTATATATAATATAATATATTGTAATAGTATTATATGATATTGTAACATATTGTTGCATAGTGTATTGATTTCCAACGACTTCACGAGGTTTAGCAATCCCTACATGAAAAGGATATTAATCAAATCATATTGTGTAGGCCCTCATTTTCAGTGCAACCTTCCCCACCAGTACCAGAGGAACAATCAGGAAATCTTCATACTTCCCAACCGCACTAGACCAACCGAGCAAAATGATGGCCTCTATGGCTTCAGTGTGTCCAATCACGTGAAGGAAGGACCAGAAAGCCAAACGTCACAAGGTCAAACGTACGGGTGACTCCGGTCTTCTGGACCCATCACTTTGAAAATGATCAAAGCAAGAATCCCAGCAACACATGGTGCAATACATGGTGCAACACATGGTGCAAGACATGGTGCAACACATCAGGTTGATCCCCTCCGCCTTGAAGAAAGTGCAGCCGCCAGCGACCAGCTTCAGCAGAAGTTCCAAAGTGAAGGCTGCACCGAAGAAGATCTGGGCCGATGCGTGGGCGAATGGCCTAAAACCATCTAAAACCCATCAGATGTGCTCAGGTGTGAGAGATTCATTCTTGAGTGGCAACTACGTATGACACCAATTGATCACACAGTTGCTTATTTGGGTGACTGCCTTCAAGGACCTAGTCCTCGCCGTCAGCCCGATATGACGGATCTCGATTTCTGCCAAGGCACATCCATAATTTCGAAAGCAGGGTCAGCCAAGGGCCATAGCTCTGCGGCTGACTGGGTGTAACCTGTCCAGCACCGGATCAAACTGCTGGAGGCAACCCGAAAGGCTGGCGAAAGGCTTCGTGAGTAGACCATCCCAGACATTCTTAGTCGACCTTCTGTGGGCTTACTTTATGGGGCTGTTCTGCTCAAGCCATCCTGTCACTTGTCACTAGCCCACATTGTTTGCAGTGGGTCAGAGTCTTGTGAGCAATTTTCATCCATTTTCCAGAAATATTCTCCATGCCAACTATGCCAACCATGCGCAATAACCACGAGGTTTGCCGATCAGCAGCCTGTATAGCCCAGCTTGAAGCCTGTCTCAAAGCCTCGATACTGCACCTGAAACATCCGTGCTGAACCCCCGAGTTGAGGCTTTGAGGCTTTAAAAACTCATCAGTTTCAAATTGAAATATGTAATAATAATGATAAATATTTTATATATCTGTATCTATCTATATATAATTATGTCAGTTATCATATATCATCATAGTATATCATATCACTTTTCGAGGAGATATGGTGTGGATGCACAACCCCTTTTTGTTGCTCCGATTTTCGGACACGTCCGGCGCACCTCAAAGCCCATGACGGCACAAAGGGAGCAGATCAGCAGTGCGAAGGTGAGCTGAAACTGAAAACTCTCCTGAGCTATGGCTGATGTTGACATTTTTTCCGCTCAGAACAGGGATACCAAATGACCCCAGCAACAATATACTGTTAATAATGGTTAATATATGGTTATTATATGGTTAATGATGGTTAATAAATGTTAATACTGTAATAACCTGGTTGGTGGTTGAGCAACCCCTCTGAAAAATATGAAAGTCAGTTGGGATGATTATTCCCCATATATGGAAAAATAACAAATGTTCCAAACCACCAACCAGGTAGCTTAACTATATGCTTAGCTTAAACGTAGAGACCCGCGAACACCTCACATGGCCTGTCATTTTTTGAGTACAATACCATCCAATACAACACCATGTACCTATCCAATTCTGCGGAAAAATGCAGAAAATACTTTTGAACATTTTGAACTATACCCCATAGGATCCATGTATGCTATATATGGTAACATGGATCTCATGAATATACCCCATTCATGTTAGCATTAATATACCAGCACCATGGATCCGTCATGGGTACTGGATCCCTTAAATGGTTGCATGGTACCAGCACGACACTGGCGCATGTCCAAGGGACAGTGAGACTCAGTGCCCACTTCGAGATCTTCTGCCAACATCTGGACCTTAGAGTCTGCGATCAATTCGTAAGCAGCGATTTGGCGCCTTTAAAAACAGCTTTCAAAGTTATAAGAATTCTCCATTTCTATCGATTATCCATAGATATCCATAGATTATCCATAGATATCCATAGATTATCCATAGATATCCATAGATTATCCATAGATATCCATAGATTATCCATAGATAATTCAATTTATGTCATAGAAATTCTCCTTTCCTGGCCCTGGCCCGTCAAAATCCGGCCGATCAGGTTAAGGAGGCCACGGATCGTGGAAAGATTCCTCGGTTCTTTGCTGATGTTTCATGATGTTTCTGTTTTGCCTGTTTCGTCACTAATAGACTGAGTGGGAATATTGAGAGATGCTTGGAACATCTTGGAACTCTCAAAATACAGAATTCATCAACCTGGCCCTAACTGTTCAGCCGGACTGCCAATCGCTTCCGAGAAAAAATCTTCTGCGAGACAGAGTTGTAGGTCCTGGCAAACACGCAACGTTGGATGCCTTGCTTGTGGCTGAATTTGACCAAACCTTGTAGCAAGGGACGGTGTTTAACAACACTGAAGCCTCAAACACCACTTGCATACATAATATTTTTTCATTCATTTGATTTTGCTTCCTTCGACGTACTCTTACAGGACGCAACAGGATTAACAAGAGCGTCATGTTCTAGTGGCTTTACTTGACTGGGAAACTTTATGAAACTTTGACGTTCACTCAAGAAGGTACTACCACTAGCAAACTCGATCATCCAAGAGATTGTAGACTCGAAATAGTTATACTGGTTGGTGGTGCAATAACCATCTTGAAAAACATGAAAGTCAATGGGAAGGATGACATCCCATATATGAAATGGAAAATAGAAAATGTTCCAAACCACCAAGCAGTATATAAATGCACTTTTGATTCGGAGTTGTTGGAATCCTTCATCACTTTTAATACCTGAAACACAGCACATGTGGCTTGGAAACTCTTCCATGGTCGTCAACTGGCAACCAAGAAATCCCAAATCCACACTGCGCTCCTACGCTTCACTTGAATAAGTGAACCTGGATCAACTGAATTGTCTCAGACTGGAACGGGGCTGCGGGGAGGGGAATAGGATGGAATAGGACCGACAATCGTGCCACCAGGTGAAAGTCGCAAATCTGATGTGGAGAAGGGTGATCCAGCACTTGGTCGACATCGACATTGAAAAGTGACTCTATCAACAGCATCATATCAACATCCTTATATTACTTATATAATTATATATATATATAATTATGTATATCTCCATATCTATATATTACTTACAGAATGGGTCGCAGTCATGGCCCATCAGCCACTGCTGGAGCAGCATGGAGCAACTCTTCAGCCACGGAGCTTGGCGATCGCTTCGTGTTCTTCGAGCTGTGACAGGTTTTCTCCGCGGAGATCGGGACTGTCACCTCAGGGCATTTGCCACGGAGTAAACCATGGACCAACATGGACTGACTATGGCACTCTACAAATTCAATGAGAATTTCTCTGAAGCCTTGCAGGAGTATATATATAATTATATAATATATATATAATATAATATTTCAACATATTTCAAGTACTTGACACAGAAAGTTTTTGGTTTCATGGATTCACCATACTAATTCTGTCATTTTTTAACATAAACAACACGTAAACCAACACAGGGCTGGAGTCCCACCAGTACCGCAGCCCATGGCAGCCATGGCAGTCCCGAGCCTTGACGCCAGCATCTTGGAGTTGATGATACACATTTTGGGACAATCCTTCGACTTCTCGACGCAGAACCTGGCCATGGCGGCCCAATGGCGAAATATGACGAGTCCTTCACCACTGGTAGACATGATAAACGTTAATCAATATATAACTTATATATTTAATTATATAACTTATAAACATAAACTGGATATGTGTCAAAGTTGGGTGCCAAAAAATAGGGTGTTATAATATCAGGATACTTTACCTTCGGCTTTCCAGCTGCCGTTTTTGACATTAAGTCGCAGTTGTCCCTTTTGCATCTTTAGCTGCTGTTGTACACTCTGGTAATTTAACATAGCTATTGAAAATGGCCATTTATAGTGGATTTTCCCATTAATAGCATGGTGGATCTTTCCATAGCTATGTTGTTGGTTTACCAGGCCGGGTAAGCGAAGCGAACCTCGCCCTCAAAGAGGAGCTGCGCCATGTTCAAACTGCTGGCAGGGCCCGAGAGCCTTGCCACTCCCGCAATCATCTCCTGCGACCGTCCCATGGAGTCCCACGGTCCCATGGAGTCCCACGTGGCATTCTCTGGTTAGTGACCCCAGCAACAATATACTGTTAATAATGGTTAATATATGTTAATATATGGTTATTATATGGTTAATGATGGTTAATATATGTTAATATATGGTTATTATACTGTTAATGATGGTTAATATATGTTAATATATGGTTATTATATGGTTAATGATGGTTAATATATGTTAATATATGGTTATTATATGGTTAATGATGGTTAATCTATGTTAATATATGGTTATTATATGGTTAATGATGGTTATTATATGTTAATATATGGTTATTATATGGTTAATATATGGTTATTATATGTTAATATATGGTTATTATATGGTTAATATATGGTTATTATATGTTAATATATGGTTATTATATGGTTAATGATGGTTAATATATGTTAATATATGGTTATTATATGGTTAATGATGGTTAATATATGTTAATATATGGTTATTATATGGTTAATGATGGTTAATATATGTTAATATATGGTTATTATATGGTTAATGATGGTTAATATATGTTAATATATGGTTATTATATGGTTAATGATGGTTAATATATGTTAA